TCTCTAATGTTTCAGCGTCGGGTCACCGCAGCGACTGGATACGGAGCGCATCCTTACAGCATTGAATGCGTTGTGAATTTTGGTGAGGTTATTTGTAGGTGAAACTTGGATATTGGCCAAATAACACGTAGTTGTATTTAAATTTTTGTTCCACTGGTGGTCACTTTAATTCTCATCTATCAAATGTCAGAGTAACTTGAATTTATGCCAAAATTAACCTTTTACTTAGTTAAACTCTTTATTCGATAATATGCATATGAAGCTGCCAAATTTGTTCTTTCACCACTTTTCCATAAAGGGTTGCATAAGCTTCGAGGCAATTTCTTATTCCTATGTGCACGCGGATTTAAGCTAATGATAAACAGCAATAAGAAATGTTGTACTTTGATATCTGGCGTTCACCTTGATATTCTTTTCGCCTTTGTACACATGGGCTAGTGTTTGAGCTGTAATGCATCGTTTTGCGGTAGCTTGACGTTCGGCAGTAACTTTGGCATTTGTCTGGCCACTTTACGCATGTGTTGGCCCTCGACTCATGCTCAGGTCTAGTCGCCTTGTTCTCTTTGTAATACATGTACCCAACTACACTTTCTCCCTTCTTCCACCCGGTGGGAAGTCTCGCAACGCTGCACTGGTGGCAGCGGGAAGCGAACCGGACATTCTTCAATGACCTCTATCCTGGCTTGTACCGTTTGTTGCATGTAACTACGGTGTGGAAGAGACGCATTTGCATCAGTGTCGCAGAATCTCTGAATCTCTTACAACGAAAGGGTCGAGAGTGACATCTGCGTTTGGCTTCACCTTATTCCCGTTTTCTACAGACAATCTAGTAATAACCGAAGTGACGCCGCCGTGAAACATCTGGGGAAGTTCCGCGTCGCAATTTTTCCTACGAAATCCGTGTATAGGTGTCGAAAATGGCACTACGGTTCTCCTTACATACGGGACAGTGGCTCATTCCGTTTCCCCTGTAGCATGTATGTTTTAGGCCAGATTTTTACCGTCTATTCCTGGAAGAACTTGATGGTCAACCGGTGTATGCGGTCCCGAATGTGGTTGAAGTTGCCGGTTCCTTAATCATGCTATCTGTCGACTGGCGTGTTTGGCTCGTTGGTGATTCCTTGTAGTGCTGAGTATGTTGCGATGGCTGGCGTGGGAGGTGTACCAAGGGGAGCTTCGAGGATGTCGCTCAAAGGAAGAGAAGTGTGGTTTAATGCCTTGTTTATGTGACCACCTGACCTTCAGCGGTCGCTTTATGATTTGTCTGGTCCTTGTGCGTGTAGGCTGACCTTCGGACTATGCTCAGGCCAATTTGCTATGTTCTCTTCGAATCTATGTGTCCTATCCTATGTATCCTGTGGGAAGACTCAGGACGCTAGAACCTTTTTGCCCTAGTGAAACTCTAAGGTGCTGCCATATTAGACATTTTTTCGCAAATATTACATAATAATTGCCTTAAAATTTAGTGTAATAGAATTTGATTATCCATTAATAAAATATAAATTTGTACAAATTACCTGTGATTATGAGAACAAGGTTCTAGTGCTTCTGACGAAAACAATAAATTTTTATTAACTAAGATATTTTGAAAAATATTTTGTTTTAGAAGTTTAGATGACCTTTCGTCGAATGGTTTGATTATGTCTTCATTTAATGCGCACACGGGCTTTAATCCCGCCTTGATGTTCGAGGAATGTATAAAAGATGACCAAGATGAATGCAAAGTATAAGATAATTTTCTCATTTTTAGATATTTATGGCTATATGCATCCAAGGCAACATATGTGGCATTGCATTTTCTTCTCCTAATGGTATCTTAAAATGCGTCCCTGACTTTCATGTTAACCAAAGTTACAGTGACGTTTTGAATGGTAGTGCCATTTTAAATTAAACTTTAGTTATTTTGGATGTCGGTCCCTGTTTACTTTTAAGTACTGAAGCTATTTTAAGTACAATGCAGAACATTATCTCCAAAAATGCAGGTATGTTGTTTTCGCAGTCCTCATTATTTTTAGTCAAAACATTTACTGTACCGAGAAGCTCAATGGGTTGGTTTGTGTTCGCTTTATTTTGGTTAGACTTTGATGCTTGTGTTCATCGGTTGGGCCTGATCAAACTTCCATATGCCCCAACATTTGTTGATGAAGAAGAGAACGCGAATTTCATAATGTCCTTGCTGCCAAACGATGCTCCTCAAATGGTGACTGAATACATCTTTATTTACAGTTAGCAGATTAGAGCCACTGGGGTCTTAATTGATTATCTATCAAAGCGGACATCTCTTCTAGAAGGTCTAACCAACTCCCGTTTTGAAAACATTCTTGATGTGCAGCTGTATCAAAGGCATTCTCATGTACACCTTACGTTTGTTTAGGAAACAGTATGTTTATGTTGACATTGCTACTCTCATTCGCCTTCAAGTGTTTGATTCGTCAATTTGTGAGCCTGTTTCTAAAATTGTAAATTTTAAGCGCTCACAAGATGGTCCCGAGTTAACTCTGTTCGGTACGTTGATCTGTCGCTGTTATCCAAGAAAATAGCCTTATCTGTCTAAAGCGTTGGGTGCAAGCTTGCATTAACAATAAGCGTCGTCGTAGAGTCTTGTCATGATCATAATAGCTGCCATGTTCCGAATTTTTGCAATTTACTTGTTAAGGCTTTAGTCTTCGCTATTATAATGCGTGCTCAGACATCTTCAATACCTGCTTGTCTTAAAATTTTTTTCAAATTTATTTAGGCAAGTTATTTACGCTAGAGTCAATACTTATAACAGATATGCATAGCTTAATACTTCATTCCTACCGGTTGGGAATCGTAGAAGCAACGTTGCTTTGGAGATACGTGCATCTAGATAGTGCTGTACTTAAGTATTATGCACAGTGTGCTTTAGCCGTTAGTAATATGTACGCCTTTATATGTGTTACCGCTTAACCTTTGTTAAATTGTTGCAAACTTCAGTTTGTTTGCGCATTCTAGACTACTTGAATACGTGTTCCTCCACACTTGGAAGTCGCCTTTTGTCACAGTGGTTGAGGGTTCCTCTAAAAGATGACGAGGAATTGCATCGACGACAATATGCAGTGGAGTTTCTTACTAGATCGGCTAACAGAGGTCTCCACAAGTTGCTAGTGGGTTGTATCAAACGCGTCGGTAATATACAGGTGGTCATCTCACAAACCCAATAAATTTACACTTACTTAAACCATTTAAGTAAAATAATACGTTTCCATAGCGCGTGCTGACTAAAATGCACGCTTCGTCTGCGGCTTCAAACGAATGGAAAATGCTAATACAGACACTCCAGTCCTTGAAGTCGATCATGGAGATCTGCCGTCATCATCCCGAACTGAGTGTACCCATGGATACCCCTGACAACGTTCCCCCACCATGGCAGATACTCCATTCCCTGCTAGAGAAAATTGTTGAAACAATTGATATGTCTTCAACCTCATCTCATAAGCGTTTCATTGTCAAACAAGGTCATCATGCGTGGTTAGATGAGTGTAAGTCTTTTGCGTAGAATTATCATTTGTATACAACAAATAGTCGTCACTATCAACAACGTCTTTACATTTCAGGGAAGCAAATTTACAGATGTCTTCCGGATATTTTGAGTCGGCTAGCAGAACACGAATTGAATCGTCTGAGGGGTCATGTTGACGCCTGTGGCTTGATTTACTTCCCTTTAGTACGTTTTAAGCACATTATTTCATTCGGTCTTGCCTAGTAAGATTAACCTCACTGTCTATCATAATGCGTTCGACATTGACCTTTGCACTGATCTGGTGCTGAGACATCAATTCTGTATGTCATATGATTTATTCACTGTTTACGAGACGCTGGAAGATTTCACTGCATCGGTTGTGCGAAAATATGGGCTTTCGGTCACAGCATCTCCAACAACATTGCAGATCCCATAGCTCCGAAAAGCACCCAACATAACGCGCATGTAGTAACCGAAACAGCATGCTTCTTTGCTACTTTAATTAACCAAATTTAATTAAAGCTTGTGTTTCGTAAAAAACAATTCGGATGGGGAGTAAACGACTCGTTTATAGTGGAGGAAGTAATGTGGGATCGAAATCTCAAAAATTGTGCAGCACTTCGTTGACGGTTTACATGCTTGGCTTAAACCACTTTTAGTGGATTGTACTATTGTTGCCGCACATTTAGTCCTTAATATAATAATTTTTTGTTTTCGATTACTGTAGTTTCACTTTTAATCGTCAAAAATGGCTTACAACCTTTGGAAATCTCGGACATACGGAAGCATTTCCACTTCGAGCATAGATTCTTACTCTTGCTAAGATATGGTAATTAGTGCACCCAACTTAAGACCATCAAGGTCCATTGAAGGCTGATGGAGAGCGCTAATGCACATAGGTCGTCTGAGCATAGCTGCGAAAACTCGAGAAGTACGGTGTTGGTGTGAATGGTCGCATGACAACTCCAGTGTGTATCTTCTGCTGCAAAAGTGTATTAGAACTTGAGTTCTTATCTGTGGCGAATCATGGAACCTCTGTGTTCAGGCATAAGCTAAAGCAATAACGAGGTCATTCATAGTTTATTCTTCTCAGAGCGTGTGTGTCAACAATCAATTTCACAGACAAAATTAAGTCGTAATAGGTTGCACCTTAAGTGCACATTATGCCAAACATTAGGAGCATGATTTCTGTCCAAATTTATATCACCCCGTGGAATCAAGGTTTTGTTGGAGAAAACTGCGACCATTGTGCTGTGATTTTTAAATTTCATTCTGTGACCTTAACGTTAATGACTGCAAAAGCTGTTGAGGAGTTGTCTTCAGTACTAGCATGGTCGGAACGTCTTTTTTCCTTCCCTTGAATAAATGATTGGGTGTGCTTTTACTCACAGCAAAATACCACAATAATCGTCAATGATGTGATTGAATAAAATTCTTTAACAATGTCACCAGTTAGCAACTCCGGCTTCATATAACTTCGGTGTCTGTACTGCATTGTATAGGTGGGATATCTTTTGCAAATTCCGTCTTCTCAAACTTCGGAAGAGCTACAGGAACTGGGACTGCAATATATAGTGAGTTGCGGCCGCTAAATCAACTTTACTAACAACTGGTTTGTTGACCACTTCTTTTTTACTTAGTTTACTAACAGTGAATTGGCGTATTATCGAACCGCGATGACTAAAGGTTTGATGAGCACTTTAGATCACCCTATGGCAATGCCTTCTAGAATTGGACAAACGTTATGGTGACGTCATGTATGCAATATTAGGTGCGTCTACTTTTTCGATCTGTTAATTATAATACCGAGCATGGTGGGCACCAGTTTGTGTACTTTATAACTTGATCCCGATAAATTGATTCCTCTTGTTTGCGAAATTAACTTTATCCCCAGATGACATAATTGTGCGATGGACATTAGTGAAGTGCGCAGCTTTGGATCTTTGCATTGATTGTTTGGGTTTCTTAGACATCGTTCTTGTTTTTATAAATTTTTGAGTAGAGAGCATCTTCAGCTGCGATGAAGAGTCAAAGGCACTGAAAATTAAAAGTGCTGGCTCAAAGCTTATAAACCACTACCTTGGTTACTGGAGTGCTAAAAAAATCAAGGAGAGGTTTCATTGCGAGCAGCCTTAGGTCGCATTTGAGATTGCCGAAAACCCTATTTATTATTTTAACTGGGCTACTAAATTTCAACTTCTTCAACGCTAGTTAATGATCTGTAAAGCTCACTCAAACCTGCAGATGGCTTGCATTTACAGAAGTGCGAGATCAAATGTCGAATCAAATGATGCACACTGACTAAAGTACGTAATTCTTTTCTAAAAGTGCTGCAATAATGTGAAGGGCGTATTGTTTCTTCATTCTTAAGGTAAATTTCACCCGTAGTGTAGTAAATCCGACAAGAGGGCGATCTACAGGCGCGATTACTGGTTCCACAGTTTTGAATAGCTGCGAAATCCCAAATAATCGGGTTTAGTTTTGGACAACTGAACATTTGATTTCCCTCGGTAAAAATTCAAATCTTCTGGATCGGATTCACAGTAAAAGTTGAACATATTTATACAACGCACAACATGGCTTCAACCAGGTACTCAGCCATGTACACGGATGAAAGGTGATCGGCGCCTGGGGACCAATTGTTCGAACGTACAGTTCCAGCAGCACAAGGTTTTACCCCTAAAGGCCTTTAAGCAATATGACGGATTTGGTCAACACGAACACAGAACATCACCATTGTCTTACCTAGTAATGGTAATCTGATGCTCATATCCTCCCATGACAATTTTCATGAAAAATGTGATCGCCGATCGTAACAAACTTCAACTGTTGACTATTAGCATCTAGTCACTCGCAAATAGTCACCGCATGAATGTACCACGGTGTAAGTTCAGTTTTTTTCGGGGCAATTCAAAAGGAGTAGAGGCCAGAATTTTTTGAAACCGAGAAGCAGAGGAGGAAATAACAAGCTAGCTGAGCCACTTCTCCGATTGCCCATCATTTTAATGACCTTACAATGTGACCCCCAGATACATCGCAGCCAATCTTCGAGGCTTATGTGGTTCATTCAGAATGCCTCTGTGACGTCTCATTTTAGATGCTGAGACCTCCATCATGCACGAACTACAGGAAGAGATTCTAAAGGCAGCGAAGCCGCTCCTATGTCTGCTTGATTTTGCCACCGAGCTGGACTGGTAACATATTCTGCAATATGAGAAATATCCTTCTCGCTTAATAGCATTTGCGCCCTAGCGACTGCGGCTATACGGATGAACGGCGTCAAACCACGAATGGTCTCCGAGAGCAGAGTAACAATTCGCGGAGGGCGACACATACTCTATGAAGCACTGCACACCAACTACAGGACAAACTCATTCATTTCACCAACGGAAAAGGGCAGCGTCACCTTAGTGACCGGACCAAACGCGAGCGGCAAGACTATGTTCATTAAGCAGGTAACAAACACTCGCCGATTGCCTACGCCTACCGAGGTTAGGTGCTTACATCTACTTCCCCTTACTGAAGATCGGTCTGATCGTCTACCTAGCCCACATAGGAAGCTTTGTGCCAGCCGACTGTGCAACCATACCGCTGATGGACGCAATTATGGCACTCATGCCAGCGGACATCGAGAGGCAGGCAAAGACACAGGAATTTCTTTCCGACGCCAGCTGGCTGGCTACAGCTCTTCGCTACGCCAGCGCCAACTCTCTACTCCTGCTGGACGAATTCCCCTACTTTTCCGATCAGGTCCGAAAAGCAAATCCACCTCACAACTAATTTCTCTAGGTGGCACGCAAGTCCCTGTTCCTCGGCTTTTTGGAGTACATGAGTCAAAGAGACTCATCCCACGTGATTGTAACCGGATTGAATATGAACTGGGCGAAACAGCTACTGCAGCCACTGGTGCCAAACATCAACTTGAGGGTAATGAAACAATAGATCCGCAATTTTGGACTAGAAAATGCGTACAACCAGCGACGTCAAAGGACCCATTTTTCTACATGAAGTAACACCAGGTATTAATGACACCAACTACGCACTGGAAGTAGCGAGCAGCGCAGGCATACCCGAGAAAGTGATAGCCGCAGCATCTCAGGTTGACAAATTTCATGACTTACCAGCCTATAGGGTTCATACAGAACACAAGGAATGGATGTGGACGAGAAGAAGCGGAGGACCAAGTAAGTAGTAATTATTAAAAGGTATGTACAAAAATGCAGACGCCGCAACCTGTTGAAAGAATTGATCGGAATGGATCTGAGCGAGTTCACCAATGAAACTCGTACATTTCTTTCAGAAACACTTGAAATCTAAATAAATTATGTACACAAACAATCTCATTGGAAAAAAGGGTGCTCCAGCGCTTCTTGGGAGGATATTCTAGCGTTTGGATCATAGACAAGCATCTCTCTAACAAGATCAAAAGCAAGTCTGGCGCTAAGGTCATCAGTGGAAAGCCAGAGGTCGCCTAGAGGTCTGACGTGCCGCCTCACATACCGTCCGTCCGTACTGTTTACGTCCCAATCCAGCCGGCCACGCCTGAAGTACCGTCTTCGCCGGCTGTTTCTGACCATATGCTTGGGTAAGGGACCGAGGAACCGCTCCATCATGGCCAAATGCTCAAGATTATCATGGGTCATAAACAGACACTGACCAGTCACCAGTTCATAAACAATACAACCAACAGACCAGACATCTGCAGAGAATGACCACCCACACTCAAGAATGACTTCAGGTGCCCGGTAGTGCCTCGTCTGAATAGTGGTAGGACGTCTCTCACCCTCCATAACAGCAGATCCGAAGTCGATGACTTTGACCCGAGGATCGCGCACAAGACAAATGCTTCTACCTCGCTTATCATTGTAGACCGCAGTGAACTCAGGGGAAACAAACATTATGTTTTCCGGCTTGAGATCCGTATGACAAATTTTCAGCTTGTGCATGAAATCGACGGCTTCACAGAGTTGACGAGATATAGCGATAACGTAATCGATGGGGTAGGGCTCATAATCATTTCGCTCGAGTAGGTTGAATACGCTGGTGCTCAACAGGGGGAAAACGATATAGTAATGCCTATGCCATTCAAAAAAGTCAATAGTTTCAATGCAATTAGAGCGTAAACTACGATCAGCCTTGGAGATTGTATCAAGAACATCCACCTCGTGTTTTGCCGCCTCCTGGTAGTCCTCAAGCCTTTTCAACGCCTTAACTGCCACTCTTGAACGTGTATGGAGATCAAGACACTCCAGAACCTGCCCGAAGCTGCCCTCACCTAGGACCTTACGCACCTCGAATCGTCGTTTGATGACCTCCCCGAGAGGGACGACGGCCGAGGCCTTGCCGCGCTTGTGATGCTCGTGGCTTTCTCTGCGCTTGGCCCTCTCTTTGCTTCGTCGCTGGCGCTTGCGCTTGTGACTGGAGCGAATAGAAGAGTGATGATCGGAACCACCGTGTTTCCGCTTCAGCGTCGGAGAGTCGTGACTAATGCTCCGGCCGCGATCGCGGGACCTCTCAACCGAAATATGGGACTCAGGGCCACCGTTTAGGAAACGAACAACCGGGCTTGAGGAGTTACCGTCGACGAGGTAGTCGTCTCTGCCATTTCTAATCGTTGCACCAAGCCGCCGAGACTTACGGGGAGATAAAGCGGGCGAGCTAGGCCTGTGCCTGTACCAACAGGGACAAAAATCACAACATCTCAGAAAGTTCAAAAACTGTTACCTGCGATAGAACTAAACTCCAACTAATCAAACCCCTGGATGGACGAGCTATGGAACTTGAAGTGGCTATGGGTACCTGGCTGCGAACAGAGGCGGTGGGGAAAAAAGTACACTGAGTCACAAACGCGACTTGTATTATGAAAATACATCGACACATAAAAATACCTTTTACGAACATTCTCAAAGTAAGGTTTCTCAGACTGAGAACATCCATAGCTTGAAGAATAATTTTTTGAACCTGTGGAAGACAACTTCGGTCTGTGATTAGATGCGGTAGAAGAAGTCGCAGAAAATGACTTAGATGAGTCTGAAATTTCATGCGTTGTAGCGTCGCGGAATCGAAAGTCATAACAACACCTGTGGTTGCTATTGGAACGTCGATGACGAGATAAACCCATCCAGAGCCTCCTACAAAGGTGAGCGAAAATAAAACATGGATGAGCACATTAAAACACAAAGGTTACGTAGATGGACGAAATAACACATGATATGAATCCAGGTAACCGCATTTATATTATCAAACACTTTAATCGGTTTTTTTAGAATTCTTAAAGGCAAACCTTTTAATAGTCTTGTAATTTGCGCAATGAAAAAATTGCGTATGATTATAATTCACCACGACTTACCTATAGGCAACAGTAGGTAGATAAAAAGAACTTCTTAAGTTTCCCGTGGCAACGCTTTATGTGACTACTAGACGTTTGCTGGTCACTTTAGAGTTTGTCTGGCCTCTGTGCACGTGGACTGACCTTCTGGCCACGTTCGGGCCTCATTTGCTCTGTCGTGTTCGGAATACATGTAGCTTTAGTTACTGCCTGTCCACCCTCTGGTCCCAGGTTCTCAGACTTTAAGAGGAAGTTGGTTGCAGACGATTTTTAGGCACCGCTGTTAGGAAGGATGGGGAATAGGATACAGATCAGGTAAGAGATATCAATCGTAGGGAGGGTCCTCGCCGACTTCACGCGCGTGATCCACTTTCCCAATTGGTCCCCGCTTCTCACCTATCAAAGCCCACTTAAACAAGCTAGAATATATTACAGTAGTCGACCTCAATCTAAGCCTTCTTCCACCCTATAGGAAGCCCCGGGACGCTACAGTCCGAAGGCCAATTAGTTAAGCTGATGCAATATACACAATTAGGCACTAACGAATGGAACTGGTAGTAAAATAAAACAGTACCACCTATGCACTGATTTATTGATCTGTGGGGCCAGTTGTAATAACTTGCTTATTTAACCATCCGTATGGGCAACGATCGCTTTGTTGTTATTTGGCTGCGCAGTTTGCCTTAAAACTCAAGTCAATGTATGACGATTTCCCACACACCTAATAAATTATTCAGCCCCATATAGTGCTAAAACAAGAGGTGTGAGAGATTTTTTATATAGAACCTAGATTTGTGATTGCTTAATGCGTACAATTGAGTAATGACTAAAACTCCCATTTGAACAGTTCCTTTGCAGCTCACTATCCTCGCTCACTGAGTCAAAGTATTGATTTGAACTGAATGCATGTATTCTGGGCAATAACTTAGCTCAAAGACCTGACTTTGCGTATGCGAGCAGAGGGAATAAAATTGTAGCTTCACGAGACCTCTCACATAGTAGCAGAAGGCGCAAGTTAAAACTAGGCTTGGCCCGAAGGTCAGTTCACGCGTAGAGGGGCCAGTCAAATCTTGAAGTGAGCACCAAGTGTCGAGTGGTTATATAAACAAAGCGAATTAGCCAAAGTAACCAGCAGATGTGCAGATGGTCCCACACGCAAAGTATTGCTTCGGTATTGAGAGTACTACTTTGTCTAGAGTCGTTACTAGCATTATTGTGTTTGGCGACTGGATTTAGTGCAAGAGATTTTCGGAACTCATGCCTTTGTCTCTCCCCAGCGCATTATTTGCATCCTTTTTGAGAGTTACGCTTTCTCCTACCTATAACGGTCTCAGGAAGCCACATCCGTGGTTCCCTAAAGTAATGCTGTGCAACATTTTAATCAAAAGAAAGGTTATTGCGCATTATAGTGCTTTGTTTATGTGATCATCTGATGTTTGGCAGTAAATTTGGTAATTGTTGATAGTTGTGCCTTTGGGCTGAGTCGACTACTAATCCATTCCTTTCTCCCCAAGAATACGTGTACTCTGCGGTTGCTGAAACATTCTAGGTTGCAAATCATGAAAATCTCAGGTCATATAATTGTAATATAAGGAGGGATAATCATAACACACCTTACTAATGCCTTTATTTCACATAAAACTTGCACGTTTAAACATCAACATCATCCTATTGCGGCGTTGTGTACTGATGCTCGCGCCAGGTCGTATTACGCCAACTTCTGCTTATTTTTTAGAACTCCCACCCTTTTTGTATTTTCTGATTATCCAGTGCTATTTGCTACCATTACTAAAGTGATTGGAAGAATTATTCTGCTCATGTGCTGTAAAGCTTTGTTAAAGTTGGTAATTTTGGTTGGAAAATTGGAATCGCTAGTTGCTATAGCTCTAAGTTGCCATTTTCCTTTATAACTTCCAATGAAAGCAGAATTGGTTCATAACCATAGGCAAGTTGTTATTGGCTTCTTGTCGGCCTTTCAACCAGTCAATAAATGCTTGATGTGCCTACATGGTTCGAAAGTAAATGCCGTTCTTTTACTTTTATTCTTTGCTGCAATGCTTTTCTTCGGAACACCCATAATTTTTCGCCAAACATTCAGCTCCAATATTATTTGCCCTTTTTAAATTGTTTACTGCTGCAAAAATTTTAGCTTGCAAGTTAGTGCAATGGTAGCGTCTGGACCTTCCTCTCGTGTTTTCTTCATATTTACGACCAAATTTGGCTTAGTAATACTTCCTAAAGCAATTCCTAGTTTAGGCAAAATCTACGTCGAGATGGACCGGGTTAATAGTGATCTGCCTCCAAATAATTTAGAGGAAACAGCTCGTCCCAGTCTGATCTCGAACAGCCTGCGCTACTACGTTGTGAAGCCCTGCCCAATAGAGCCATCCCGTGCTAATTCCCCACTTTTTGGATTTTACCATTGTCAAACATGCAAGTTGCTCCTGACTATTCGTCATGACCTCTCTCGACTGGCCGTTGTCTGCTCTAGGTGCTTTGAAGCTACAGTAATTTTATGCTCTTTACGTGGCACATCTTTGGTTCCTTTTTTGCTCGATTGAAGGAGACTAATAACCCCGTGAAGAAATACATATAATAAATGCAAAGCCATTATTCGTTGCAGTAGTACATCGACATTGTATTAGCTGCATCTAAAAGACTGGAAATCATCGTTTTCCTCCTCAGCCGATTAGGAACCCACCACCTGAGAAGCGCTTCTACCGCTGTATTTGCAATTGCCTGCTCCTCGTATCACGGCATCAAAACGTTTTTGTGTGTCCTCGCACTTCCTGCCGCGTTGTTTTGGTGACTGAGGTGGCCAAAAAGGATCCGCAACTAATTTTCAACTTCCTTGACGAACATTTCGAAAAACTAAAACGCCCAACAAGCCTCCCCGACCTGCCTTCTCTGCCTGATAGAGATTCAACAAAAACCAAAGGTCTTGTCCTACGTTGGTTTGATAGAATTCAGCCTCGTTAACAGTATTTGTCTAGCATCAGTCCCTCTGGATTTAAATCCTGTTTTGTTCAGTGAAGAGAGGTTGACCATTGTCTAGGTTTATATACTCATTTGGTAAAATTCTGCCCAATGTTTTCAAATATGACTACAGACTGGCGAAAAGTGTTTATAAGTTGCGGCTACTGCAAGGAGTCTTTTAAGGCCAGTCCAGGTCTCGATCTCACAACGGAAATTCTTTGCCCTGAGTGCAAAAATGTCTCAGCTTTGACACCGCGCTTTCCGCGCCGCATGACCAGACAGTACATCCTTTATGGCCTTTTTGCTTTCCTCATCTCTTGTGCAATAACGGTGAGTTATGTCAGTGATCCTTGCACCATTAAGTCAAAATACTTGCCGTTGAAGGTCGTAGATATAAATTGAAACGGAACTTTTGCCTAGAGACGAAACCAACTTATTCATAAATGCTGGCGAGTCGAAAACTACCTGTCTAGATTAAATGACGAAACACCTTTCCCCCGTCAGTCTACGAAACATCAAATGAGACGCTAAGTTGATGTTTTGCAAAGTACATTACCTCAAGTAATCACGAATTTAAAATTGTGTCCACTTGGCCTTACTCTCAACAGGCTCACTGATAGGACCTCTGAATGGTTGAACTCCGCAGTTCTGCTGGTGTACAAACACCGGTACAGCCAATGCGGCAAATGCGTGTGCCAGTTAAAAGTGGGTACATCGAAACAGCTCTCATGCCGACAATACGGTAATTGAAAGCGTTGCGACAGCTAGCAGAGGCAATAAAGAGCATTCCCGAAAAACGAAAGTCGCAAACATTTTGGACTTTGAATAAACAGCCTCTAGAATGCGTAACTGTCCACCTCACTAACGACTTAACTTTCAAGTGGAAGAGTGGGGTAGAACGCTATCCGCTCCACTTTTCTTACTTTGATTTCAACCTTGGGTCAGAATCATTTTCCTCCATTTACAGCTAGGATCCTACTTCAATCGCGAGCACAATAGTGGTATATACTGCATGACTGCAGGTGAGCGAAAATGCTTTCTTCAATTCCGCAAAAATTTACTACACCGGCGACCAACATGAATGCAGGCTCGGGGCCTGCGAGTAAAGCTCTAGGCATTAATCGGCAATCGCCACTGCGGTAGCACTTTAGCCAAGACTGTCGTATCTTAGCCAGATATCCGATTTGTTAAATTTGTTAGTAGAATTTCGAAATTGCATTATTTTGCGGGAGTATAAGGTATGCCCAAGTAAACCAAATAGGAGTGAAATACGACCGGCAAAAAGATGGTAGTTGTAGAGATCTTCTATCCAGCAGTAAACACACATTGGTAAAATTAGTGCACAATAGAATATATCTTTTTTGTAGGCCTTTTTGTGGTTGGTGCCGTACTGTTGCTCCAAGCCTTGCTGTACTGCGCAATGCCTATAAGCACAATTATATCAGGAGCCGCTGGAGTTGACTGAAGCTCCCTTCCTCGTCTTGACAATTTGTCCAGGACTTGTTTGTCTTTATTGCTGGCGATACATGAAAAAATACCGCCGTTTTAGACGTTGCATTACTGATTGGATGCTTAAATCCACATACTAAACGGTGAGTAGGAGACAAATGCTTAGGCAATGCCTTTAAGGATGGGACGACCAATAAATAGGAAATGCTGGCATGCTTCTCTATCAGAAGAAACTCTCCCAAACGTATGTTAAAGATGGAGCAAGTTGAAGGCCACATTCTTAGAAGTACACTTCAGCTTTGCAAGTGCAACTTGAATATGCAAATCTGTCACATTGGTCTAGCTCATAAACAAATGTTCCATCATTAACAAAGAAATTGGTTATGAAGACATTGTCATGCTGATTATCAGAGAAATTGTTAATTCAGTAGATGAGAAGCGTGGTCTGTCCTTGGAAAGTTGTTCAAATCTTTGGTACAGTCGCTGAAAACTATGCCCTTTAATGCAGCCAAAGATAATGGCAATGCAACAATGCGGTGATGAAACAATGGAGAAACAGTCACTTCTTTAACTTCTATGACTATGACTTACGAGGGACTCATGATTGGATGTGATCACCTAGGAATAAGGGTTTGCGTCCATTTAAAGAGAATTATGATTTATATTTTGAAGAAATGCTATGCATTCATGTAGCATGATTCTGAAGTTCAACAACGATGGGCGAGATTGCGGTCTCAAAAAATTTACATGGCACACATTTTTAGCAAAGCTAACAAACTGCGGTACAGACCTGTTATTTAATGAATGCGGTTTGTAAACATCATCGAGCATGGTTTAGAGTGAGGCGCACAAATGGCAAATAATGAACTGAAAAGCGAAAAGAACAATAATGGAAAGACTTGACAACACGAAGGTAGTAGTGACGATGCTTGTGCGGTAACCATATAGCGACCATCAACGGGGCTGGAATATGCGATGGAGAGAAGAACCAACTTTAGAAAGGAGAGGAGGTCCTTCTCCGTCTAGAGGAGTGTACTGGGTTCTGAAGGCCGATGACCCACCGTCGTTCCTGAAAGAAGGGAGGTTGAAATCAAACATGGCGTTCATCTTCTCCTCGGAGAACTCCACAACCGGTTGATCGGTAGTAAAGTTCTGGTCAGCTCGCAGTTCGTCCTGATCTGGAGAAAGAACATGAGGAATGATTGTCAAAAAAGGTCAAAGAATGTAGACACGTTACTATCTCATAATTTTGTTCAGTACCAATTCAAGTGCATTTGTCTGCACGAAGACGTCAAGCAACATACTCGTACAATACTACCATAGGCGTTTGCTAACCTCCCCGTGTGTACGACTATTCCAGGCAAAAGTTGCCAAAAAGGAGATGACAAAGTGCATAAAAACTAAGTTGCAATTAAGTGCAAAAAAGCGCAAAAAAGACGATTTATGAGTAGAGGAGAAGCCGCGCTCAAGCGATCTCGTAGAGGGAGACATGGTAAAATCAACTGGCTTTAAAATAGCCCAGTTCATTTTATTGGAGGCCTCAGCTGTACGCATGCCAAATCTGAGTGACAAAAATGACACTGCTTCTACTACAATGCGAGTCAAAAAATCATCAGAACAGAAGTCACTGTGGGCGACTTTATCTGAGAGATATTATAAATAGGTACGTACTTTCAGGAATATGGAAGTCAGACTGCAATTTGGCTTGCCCTTCAAGTGTTCTACGACAAGTTGAGGGGTCGGAAACAGTATCGCCTCGTGTGAATCGGCGTGTGCGACCCAAAGTTCGTTCTAAGTGGGAAAAGCAAGGCGCGGGCAAAGGCGTGAAATAGTTGCATCCAAATATTCGTCTCAAAACAACATTTACCACTAGAGGCTAGGAAAAATACACTAACCACCATTTACATTCACTTTTTTCCCACCTTAAATCAAACATAACTGCCAGAAAAACCTAATCACCACTCCAAAACAACTCGGCAGTATGGCGAATGAGGTAAGATGAAATAGTCTATTACGCCGTCCTTACACTTCAGTGACAAAACCTGCATGAAGATGATAGTATGCCACTTAAAATGTGATGAAGCAAAGCACTTCAGAAACAGAAAAATTGGACTTTTCAGTTTACCTGAATAATTCAGAAATTAATCACAAAAAATACTGCTCTCGATACACTAGGTCGTCCTTTAAGTTGCAGTAAGCCTCATCATCCTCAAAAATTAGATCTAAAATAGTGTCACTAAGATTGGACGTTTGTGCAAATCAACTTCTAATCAAAGACCACCCATAATGCCCTATAAGAGACCTATTTTTTAGCAGCATTACGTGTGGCCGCGGCCTTGAAACAACGACAGCTGGTACTATAAAAAAGCAGCCATGAAGCCGATGGTATTCCGAGATTGGATTCTAACTTGTTAAATGGAATGTCTTTCAAAGGCCGTCCTACAAATGAGTTGAAGCTACCAAAAGCCAATGGAGGTGATGCTCGTTGCAGATGCGTCCTACTTGACCAATAAACCCGCAAGACCATGGGAGATCATGTCTATTTGGAGAGAAACAAGGACGGATAATGGTCATCGTACCCCGGTAGAGCAGCATTCGACCATCTTCAATAGCATCGTCCACAAGACTGCTTTCCCCCGCAGGCAAACGTTTGTCAATAAAGCTTGGGCCGGTGAGCTGGGGCATGCCCAAGTAGGTAAGCAAGCGACTGCCCAAACTGAAGAAGGTTACCAAACAGAGCAGCACCACAATAATAGGAAAGTAGACGTTGAAGCCGTTAGCGATAAAAGGCACCACGTCCAGATGGCCCATGAATTTAGTGAACGCCGTCTCGTGGTAAATCTTTGCGGTTACTGTGCTGTTTTCGTCGGTGGTAGTAGCAACCGATGAAGATAAAACGTGACTGTCCAGATGGGCCAAGCAGAGGAAATTTACGCACAACGATGGCGTCAGTCGGCAGAGCATGCTACAACAGTACGCATTTTGATGAACTTGTGCGGTCATGAGTCTCCTGAACCGTTATTTTTGTCGACACTGAAGTTCATTTCGAGTTTTAATTCTCTAGAAAACTTTTAGAGAGTTGGAGTGATACGCGTGAATCCATCGACTCTCACTCCTTATGAAAACAGATTAGAGAAAAATGTGAAGATATGGCCCCAAAGATACCTGTTTCCTCCTAATTTCACCTCAATTCTTAAATTACGAAAACAAATTTTATTTCTGACAGACATTGAAAACCTCTTTGCGATACTAACCTAGATCGAGCCGCAAAGACCAGCATTAATTCAATGCAAACATCGGTTGGTCATAGTTTGCTCGTATTTCTGCCCTCATACTAGCGATGTGCGTCGCCTCTTCGAAAGACCCAACGGCCTATGAAACATGCAAAAACCTCAATCATTATCTAGAGGGAGTTACCTTGTTGCACTGGCATTGCTCACTCATCAGTGTGACAGCAGAACGCATATAAAACACAGATTAAGAACGCAAAAAAGCTCACTAGCCGTAGAAGATAAGACTGATGGCATCGGAGTGGTGGTCAGGCACGAGGCGGTAGTAGTTAAAGAATCGAAGACGGTAGGCCGTGAAGTAGATGCAGAAGCCCAAATAGCCCAAGAATACGAAGCTCACGAACTAAAGTGGAGATAAAGGCTATCTGCCCTACTTTAAAAGTGGATACGAGAAATATGGGTGGTACAATGCCAGCACAAGGGCGAGGCCACAATAGCTAAACTTATGATTTAGCTAGTGGGAACAATGTTGATTTTGTAAGCTTCCCAGGAGACCACAATAAGTATAGCACTATAAATACGTTTTAAAAGCATTTACTGAGGTAGATCGAGATCTATGTTAGTGGCAGCGTAATCGAAGGTACTCCGTCCCAAGGTCGTTTTAAGCAAATGGAACCTGTGGTTCACATGGTCGATAAGAGGCAGTAGTCAGCTAGCTTCTATGCAACACAATGCAAAGGTGTCCGATAGGTTTCAATCACGCGTATTATTGGCCCTACCTTTTTTAGGACTTAACTCCAGACGTGAGGCCACAGCTGCCAACTAGGTAAAAAATTAAACCAAATTGAAGTAGGCTCAGACGTATAGACATAAAAATGAACAAGCTGAAATGTCTGTGATGGGACTGCAAATATCGATAGTCCCTTCCCGTAGTTTTAATTTCCGCACTGGGAAGTGAGCTTAGAAAATACGCAACGCATTTTCACCTTACTTTTCGGATAGTTATACTGATGGGTTTCGTCCATGTCAATGAGCCCCAATTACTAAACGCTGAGGCGAATGGGCAAAAAGAAATAGCGGTAGGAGCAAAAAAATAAGTATAGTTTTCTTTACTACAAATTAATCCCATGACTTGTAGAAATAAAGTGCCGATCGAGCTTGACGTCTTCTACCATGCTCCAGACACAAAAAAACTGTTACACGTGCATATCCAATCGTACCGCTTGATTTCTGACTAGCAGTCACGCCGCAGTACCGAACAAAAACTGTGTCAACGAAAGTTCTAGCTGAGTCTGGTCATCTCTTCTTCCCATTTCTCAAAGGTACTTATAGATCCTTTTCTACGCCATAAAGAAGATAAAGCTGAGTCATTGTATAACACCCCATTGGGATGTTAGGGAATATAGGGTGCCGCAGTTATAAATGCTGCCTCGCTCTAATGGGGCACGAGTATTCATTAATAACTTCGCCAAAAATGTAATCTTTATCAGTACAATAAAATCCCTAGTCCCAATGTCACCCTAAATTCAAAAAATCCCACGGTGTGATTTGGTGCAAAGCTGTTCCTATAAGCCGCAGCATATGTCATAAACCTGTGATGATGGCAAAGATAGGTAGAACAGAGTCTCACAGACAAGATTGATAGTTTGTGCTAAAAAAATGCTCCATCTATCAGATGACTTGAGCAGGCCTTACAAATAATGCAGAGGGCAAGTGGCAATGCATAGTTTAAACATCGAGAGCACTATAAATAGCATCTTAGTGAGTGCCAACATAAAAGATAACTCAAATGTGATTGTTTTCGTTCAAAATCCAACTTGTGGAATGCTTGGCTGAATAACAACTGGAAAAAGGAAGTTGAATAACAGATGAAAGGACGAGGCAAGCTTGAATAAAGTCAGGGTTCAAAAAAATATCGCGGTCCAATGCAACAGAGGGCCAATGCAGAATAATGCAGTCCGAAAACACTCATTCGCTGTAATAACCGATGAAATCCAGAAAATAATAAATGATGAGCTTGGAGGGGATTCCCACCCGAATTGTAGCCACAAAATATAGTCTCGTTTTTTTCACTTTGACCAATGGATCAGAATATTACAATAGTAAGATCAAAGGTCAAAATTAAGTCAGCGGAATAGACACCAAAAGTGTGAAGCAGGTCCAAAAAGATTATGCCAATTTAGGGATACAATTCGAAAATAATCAAGTGCCATCCTCTGCAAGAGCTTAATTTATTGGGAAAACATTTATAGGAAAGTTTTAACGCATGGATATGGACAAAACTCATGTCCTTGCTTATTCTTAAACGAATGGTTCATTAAAGGAGTCAACAACACCCTTCACTTTGTTCGAGAGTGATGGGATTCAGGAACAATCATCAGATTAGTTGCGAGTGCAACTACAGCTACAACTGCCGCTGGGCTAATTGTTTTACCCGATAGAACAACGTTAACTAAATGTGTTGGTCAAATATCCTGGGAAAACTGGTCACAAAACGCCAAATCAGGGATTAACAGACCTGGTGAGACCTGGCAGCTAAGCGAAACATTTTGAGATTTACATTACCAATTCAGACACAGTGAATGCAAACGATGTGATAAAAAGTGGGGATGCGGGAAAGGCGATACATTAACAGTGCCTGATCCTTACCAAACCCTTACATGATCACATGGGATACCAAATAAATCAATCCACGGGATTTCGCAGGTAGTAAGGCAACGTAGGGGAAAAACCAGAATTGTTAAAGAAATCTCGAGTTACGAAAACGAGCATTTGCATGGACAATTTCGCAGCACATGCCATGGGCTTGAGGAAATTCTGTAAAGTATTTGAGACTGGGGAAACGATCGAGCAGTATAACAGCATCACTACACATATCGTCATAACTCCCTGATATCGAAAGGTAGTAAAACTATTTTACGAATCACAAAGTCTGGCTCGTTGCATAAATAGCTTTGCCTTACCGCAATGAGATTGTATGACATAATGGTCTGACAAGATTGGAGGACGGCGGCGATAACAGAGAGACGAGGTTTCCGGACAAAGAAGGTGCACTCACTCCAGACCACAAGAAGCGAGATAGCTGAGAGGATGGCGCCCAGAGCGCGCAGTACTAGCGGATAAATGCGACACCTCCAGTACCATTCAAGACTACTGAACCGTGAATTCAATCCCACCAGCCGCTGCCATAGCGGAAAGACTGAACTATGCGAATCCCTGGTGCTTAGTGCAGCCGGCGTGGGACCATGTTCAAAAAATCGTGAACTGTTGCGAAAGAAAGAATAAAAGGTGCAAAAATCCGGACTATAAAGCACTAGATATACCCATTACCAAACCTAGTAGTAAGCGGTCAAAAACCGATGTACTGTGGGCTGGTTCGAAACAATTCAAGATTATCGGCAAAAGGATGTGATAATGAAGTTTTCCAATGGCAAAAACGTCAAACCCGAGAATGCATAAAGGACATCAAGCCGCCCAGTCGACAGGTATCACCCTTTCACAGATGGCGGCACAAATATCTGTGAACAATTCGGCGAATCCGGTTGGCAGTCACCGTTGGGCGGTAGCCATTAGGTGTTCGACGCCAATGATTACTGCGAAATCGTATGCGATGCATTCATTCGGCAACGAAGAAAGCAGGCATTAATGAGAAATTTAGTTTAAAAAGATTAAACCTCTAAGTAACACCGCAATATTATCCGCAATGGCAATGCGTAAAACAGATCCACACAAAGAAATAGCAATCACAAAGTTTAAAAGCTTCATGAACCGGTGGTTCAAATTAAAGCGCTGTATCGATGTGAATGATGCAAGCAATTTAGAAAGATATTTGAGTTATATTACATGCAGGCCTTAGTAGGTTTAAGTTTTCATCTATACAGCTGCAAAGGGATTCAGCATTCTACCGGGGACTCTCTGAAATCTGATATAATTCATAAAGAATTCAAATATCAAAGCACGTTCATGCAAGGCAAAACCCTTAAAAACCCACAGGAACTGGAGTGATTTAAGAGTTGGTGGGGAAAATGATTGAAAATAAGGCAATTTTCCATTTGTAACGACATCAAGAATCGAAGCTTGGAAACATGGACGATCCACAACGACCGATTTATAGATCAGAATGACAAGTGAGTTTTGCAATAGCTACTCCTTTGTCGCTCCGGTTCATTGAATGATCCGAAACGACCAATTTGACTTCGATAAGAGCATGCTTCTTCTGCCCTGCACCAACTCATGCATACTGCCGCCGGGATTCAGTTGTCAACAATGGGATGGCAGATTCAGGAAACGGATCTTCATCCAAAACAAGGGGAGTGGAATGGTCATACAGGCTACCAATGCTAGCTAGATAAATGATCGACGACAGGCATCCGATTTCACAAACTCCGACGATAGAAAACCCGACATCTGCATGAAGTTAAGCAAAAAATGAGGAAAGCCGAGCACATTTAATATTCAGGACATATTTTCCTTCAGTAACAGATTTGAAACAAAAAACGCCCAAAATTCCGGGGACTACGTTGAGTCCAGCTAAATGCTGATCAAAACGCAAACTGAGAAAACCCTCAAGAAATGGAGACGAAAGAGTAGAAAGTAGGAATGCCAAAGTACATCAAGAGTGAGGCGAATTACACATTCTGAAAATTATCAGGCGCATAACCTTTAATGGGTGGCAGAAGAACGAGTAAAGAAAGGCAGACCCACCGACCAGCAATACAATTGTTATATACATCTTCAGCAGAAGCAGCTTGACAAAGGGCCTCATGCCAGAGAGCATGAGCCCGACAGCAGTGATGATAAGCCCGCTTTAAGCGTTTGTGCAGTCGCACGAGGCGTTGTGTAGTCAGCACAGCCTCATCAAGTCCTAGACCGCTCTCGGGTCGACCACCACGGGTATACCGAGTAGCTCGGTTGCCATTGCCGTCAATTTCGCTAATGTCAGCAGCCTATAAAGGGAAGTCAGCAATAATTACTTATGGGCATCAATGCGTCCAACTTTGCTTAGCTCTAGAATCGATTACCACATCTGTAACAAGATCCTACAAGTTTTTCGATAGTATAAAAAACACAGACCTCGTCTTATCAAGAGCTTTAAAATTATTATATACTGTACGGTGAAAGGGTTAATGTTGACCAGCGCCATGTCGATATGGATATAACTTGAGTTATTTTAAGCTAATGACCTAATGCATCAATAAAGAGCAGTAGTTTCCTATTTATGCACCATTTCATGCTTTTTTATGGATATTTGATTTTAGCGAAGCCTGATATTAAGAGAAAATAAACATACTTTGGAAACAACTACGTTTAGTCGGGAACGAAGAGGATGATCAGGCCCTATTTGGTGGTCTAAGTCTTCAATTTCCTAAAAGAAAAACAGGTTAATTAAACTCCTGCGACATCAAAACTCATTCCATTTACAAAGAAACGCACAAAAAATTGCACTACAAATGTTTGTCGTCAGCGCCATTGTCTTCATGTGGTTGGAATTAACTCGAAAAATAGCAATTTCAGTCAAGAAACTTACTGATAAAACCATTTTGAGCTCATCCTCGTCTTCAACGTACTCAAGGTATTTTTTGCTCAAGGAAAAATACCCAAAACGCAGTCTAGTGATAGGAGATGCAGCGCGCAATACAGCCCTAGGAACTTCAACCAGACCGTAGCCCAGAAAGAAAATCACCATAAACAGGCCCCAGGTATTGCTAGTCGTGATTAACAGGACTTTCAGAGATGCCCTAAAAGTTGAGTTAGACAGCTCTTTATAGAGCGACACACATCCGAATCTCAGAATCACACTTACGCATTAAAATAAACAGCGCGTTTGACAAGAAGATAGATCATCACACAGACGAAAAGAACTAGGTACGATCCGTAAATGATTATGTTATCTATAACAGCGGAGCGGAACTTCCTTAAAATGGTGAACTCCCCCGAACCCGCATACGACTCCATTATTGGAAGAATTATCCTACAACTCGGAACCTTCAATTAACAAATGCTACCATGTCAACAATTGTGAGGCCCAATAAACTACGGTCCAAAATACATGAAGTGTCTGCATATCGATGAAAAGTAAGGCCGAACCGATATCCTGCTTAGTGACATTGTTAACCCCATTTTGAAAGGCAAACGTCTAGATACACAACTTTAGCAGAGAGGAAAAGGTACCGACGATATATCGATTGGTAGTACACCAATGAATAAGAGGGAAGTTAGCCAGCCGATAGTGTAGGAGATGGTACATAAGACTGGCTGGTTTTTCCACTGCCCAAAATAATAGGATAAGTACAGAACAATCAAAGAATAAAGGAATAATACAGCCGCAAATAACAAATACGCCATTGCACGCAATATCACAGCATCCTCAGTTCTAAATAGCCTAACAATAGCCAGTCGGTTAGAAGAAGCGTGTGATTCATTACATTTTTTTTCGCGGCAAATGGAAGAAAGTTAATCTAAAACGGTGTATGTTTTTATAAGTGTTGCTCAGATCGAACGCAACTACACTAAAGGTGTAAGACTTAACTTTGGATCCTTAAATGCATCTTCTTCTGCGTAAAAGTTTCTGAACTTTTGCAAGCACTATCACAAACTCAAACTTATCATTGCTGAAGTCCATTCTTACATCTTCCAAAAGGTTGATTTACTTATAAACGTATTATTTTGCACCTCTGCGACCAAAAATACAATACCGGAAGGAGTGGCCGGAATCAGAGCGCAGCTCAATTAGTGTCTTCTGGTCCTTTTATTGCGACGCCTGTAATACTTTATTAATGTCTGGCAGGGATTTCGACATGTGGATTGACATCTAACAAAGTCAAGGCTCAATCTCTTCTTTCTTTGGAATGCATGCATTTGGCCCAAATTAAAGCCTTCTTCAACGTGGTGGAGACTCTCAGGACGTCACACCATAATCCTCCTAATTCGTTTTAAAAGTACTTTCGCCGCATCATAGATACATATCACAATCAATCGTATAGCGTCCCTAGACTTCCTAGCCGGTATAGGAAGTCAGTAATTGCAGCTGACTACATGTATTCCGAAGATGGCAGGGCAGATGGGCCTGAGCATGACCCGAAGGGCAGCCCACGTGTATAAGGGCCAGACAAATCTGAAAGCAAATGCCAAACGTCGAGTAGTCCTATAAAAAAGGCATTGCAAATGGATTACAGGGAAGTCTTTAACATAAGATGCTTTTTCCTGCCATTAGTGTAGGGCTACGATAATTCCCATCAGGTAGAAGTAGGCATCACACTGGAAAGAAAGCATGTATTTTGGGGGAAGAAGAAGGAGATAAAGCAAGTCTATGTCCGAGGGGTAGTCCAGACGTAAAAGGACCAAGAAGAATACAATAGACCGCAAAACATCGGGTGGTCACATAAATGTATTATTATAAGGGCTTTCCAAGTTACGGTAAAAAATCACCCTTATTTAGATTTCGACCGTATGCGCAATGTATATTTGCGTGTCCAATTTTGCCTTTATAGAGGAGAGGCGAGAATTCAAAATCGAGCAGGATTCAGTGTTTGAGGGACGTAGAAACTCCCTTGCCGGTTGATATCGACTCTCAGGTTCATCTAAGCTACAAATTGTAATGATTTGTTTGTGCGACAACCTGACGTTCGGCAGTAACTTTGGCATTTGTCTGGCCACTTTACGCATGTGTTGGCCCTCGACTCATGCTCAGGTCTAGTCGCCTTGTTCTCTTTGTAATACATGTACCCAACTACACTTTCTCCCTTCTTCCACCCGGTGGGAAGTCTCGCAACGCTGCACTGGTGGCAGCGGGAAGCGAACCGGACATTCTTCAATGACCTCTATCCTGGCTTGTACCGTTTGTTGCATGTAACTACGGTGTGGAAGAGACGCATTTGCATCAGTGTCGCAGAATCTCTGAATCTCTTACAACGAAAGGGTCGAGAGTGACATCTGCGTTTGGCTTCACCTTATTCCCGTTTTCTACAGACAATCTAGTAATAACCGAAGTGACGCCGCCGTGAAACATCTGGGGAAGTTCCGCGTCGCAATTTTTCCTACGAAATCCGTGTATAGGTGTCGAAAATGGCACTACGGTTCTCCTTACATACGGGACAGTGGCTCATTCCGTTTCCCCTGTAGCATGTATGTTTTAGGCCAGATTTTTACCGTCTATTCCTGGAAGAACTTGATGGTCAACCGGTGTATGCGGTCCCGAATATGGTTGAAGTTGCCGGTTCCTTAATCATGCTATCTGTCGACTGGCGTGTTTGGCTCGTTGGTGATTCCTTGTAGTGCTGAGTATGTTGCGATGGCTGGCGTGGGAGGTGTACCAAGGGGAGCTTCGAGGATGTCGCTCAAAGGAAGAGAAGTGTGGTTTAATGCCTTGTTTATGTGACCACCTGACGTTCAGCGGTCGCTTTATGATTTGTCTGGTCCTTGTGCGTGTAGGCTGACCTTCGGACTATGCCCAGGCCTAATCGCCTTTTTCCTTTGGACCACACGTATCCAGCCACACTTGTTACCTTCTATTACTCTGTGGGAAGTTTCGAGACGCTACACTTGTTTCCGTTCCTTTTGTATATAATGCCCAATAAAGTTACTACAAATAAACTTTTTTATGTTTTAAGGCTCATGGGCATGAGGGTAGGCAGATAGACCTTGCGGCATGCAGGCGAATTTCGATAAGACATGTCTTAGTGCATTAGATAAACCATATCAGCCTTGCGGATTTTCAAATCCTTTTCAGCAATTTTAGGTTAAACAATTGGTGGATGTCAGCACTGCCCTACTTTAGCAGTTTTACGAACAACCTATCTGCGTCAAATTTAGCTCTTTTTGAATAATTGGTGTCTGTTGCACTCATGTTAAAGGGACAGAGAATGACCCGGAGATCTGTGCGCCTAATTACAAATTTTAAACTCGATGGATGAAAATACGTCTTTATTCGACGAACAACCGAATCGTTAGTCCTATAAATGCTCCAGTTTGCTACTTAAAGTAACCGCGCTGCACCTTATTGGTTGCTTTAAAAACAGGTCTAGTGTGTAGTATTGTTTCTGCTCCTGTTATTTTGTCGTTCCGCTTCATCGTAGTTCTGTGTACGTTTGTCACAAACAGTGTAATTTTCTTGCGTTTGTTTTTTTGCATGATACACGTCTGTTACAGCTACCGCTGTACGTACTTATTATCTTTTGTGGACTCTGAGTCACTACAAGGCAAAGCAACTCATATCGTTCCCAATGTATGCGTGCGACTATTTATTATCGCATCCATTAGTCGCTATAATAGTCAGCAATCCAATAATTTGTTTTCCCCCTCATCATCCTCATGTCCCTCAGCTGCTCACATCTTTATTTCATGTTGTAATTTGCTCTTGAGCAACTTGGAGAAAACTAGAAGTTGGGGTTTGTGTTTATCGACAAAGCCCGTTTCCTTATGGAGGAACGCGGCTCTCTATGAAACGTTTCTTGTGTTTATTGGTAAAGATTTTAGACATTGGGTGCTTTATTGTTGATTTTGTAGCACAGATGCCGAATCCTAGTGCACCAGGAAGTGCGTGCTTGCTCTTGCTACAATATTTTCCGTCTACAAATCGCTTTTGAATTAGTTCACTCCTTCATTCACCTGCGAGAATACGCATCCTCATGCACACCCACCAAACTCTGAACTTACACTTTCGTCCTCGTTCTTGTAACAAAATACTGTGCTATTATTCGTGTTGTTATTGGCTCACTGATGAGGTCTTGTTATTTATCTTTGTTTCCAAGGTGAGGAGCAGATGCTGAAGAGTCCTATTTTCATTTTTGGACAGGACATTTCTTATCTTCCTAAAGGCTGTATCTTTATGATCGGCTCCCTCGGTATCTTCATCCTCTACATCGTTTATGGAGGCGTCCAGGTCAGAATTATTTATGTTGCTTAGATACCTTGTAAATTTTTTGATGTGCATGCGCCCTGTATTCATTGCCCTAATATATGGCACAAATGTTAATTCTAACGTGAAGCATGCAACTTATCCAACTTCAAAAAAACTATACATTTATGCTCCAACACTTGTTTTCTAGGGCTTGGTCACGCGTGTTTATTATTTTGCGGCTTTTTAGGAGTATCTTTTTAAAACACCTGGTCTCAGTGAACACTTTATGGCACTGACCGCCTACCAGTTTTGTCTTTACGGGGTCATATCATTTATCGAGAGCCGTGTAACAGGCGTCATGTACCACTCCAAGTAAGGACGTCATTTTCTTCACTTCATTTTTCGCAGTTTTCCCCCTTGGCTTTACTGTTCCGTTGGAATAACGACAACCGGAACCATTCTCCTTTCTAACGCCGCCGTGGTTTACCTTAACTATCCGACTCAGGTCATTTTCAAGTGTTGCAAACTCATTCCAGTCATGGTCCTTAGCATCATTATTCAAGGTTTGTCATTATTTTTGGTCTTCTCTTGACCATCTCTTTTGCTTACCTACTTTTAAAATAGTGGTGTCAAATCATTTAACCTTTGGAAACTGTCCGATTTTGAGGTCATCACTACTTTTGTAAGCTTAACTATGGCTCTTTCAAATTGAGTTGCCATTTCTTCTGCTTACTTGCGGAGTTTAACTTTTCTCATATCAAGCCGATGATATTTAAGGTTTTGGCTGAATATTAACTTTTATTGACTTCCCAGAGGGGATTCCGTGACCCTGTTCCGCGTCACATGCAGCCAATGAGACAATGGTCCTTTCTTGACCGGCCGATCTTGTTCCATACTGGACTTAGCCGAGCAATTTTCGCACCCTTTGTGATACTACTTCAAAGGAAATTTTCAAACATGGATGGTTTAATGGCCATTGAGAGTAGTTCGACTGTTAAAGATTTTGTAAGGACTTCCATATCTTTTAGGAAGGCGATATAGATTTATTGATTACGTTGCCGTCGCCTGCATGATCGTTGGCCTTATATTTTTCATCCTGACCGATGTCAGCGTTCAACTGACCTTCGACTTCCGAGGTATGCATCCTTTCACTCCCGTCACCCCTCATGTAGCAGCATCTACCAGTAGAACATATGTGTAGCCAATTTTTTACAATTCTGTTACACATTTGGCTGGGGAGAACTAAATTAGTTTATGAGAGAAAATAGGGCAATAACGATTAGTTCCGAATTTGCGCAGTGGATATCAGTGCTTTGATATTCGATGTTCTCTGTGTTCTCTTAGGTGTCCACAATGTCATAGGCCTTGTATGCAGCTCAGTTGTCTTGCTTTTCATGCTTTTATAAAATTCGATCTCTGTCATTGTATGACGGAATGTGAGGTGGTGCATACAGTGGTACATATTACTTTTCGGTCTGTAGGAGTTCTCGCGATCAGTTTGGCCCTCATCTGCGATGGCTATATTGGCAATCTTCAAGAACTGGCAATGAAGTCTTATCACGTTCCCGCCCTTCAAATTGTACGCGCTTTGACGCCCAAATATTTTAACAAAAGCTAGAAATTAGTTTATTTATTCGACCTTAGAACTTTGGCTACCTCAGGAACTAAGTTGTGGGGTTAACCTGCTCATCCCTCTTTTCTATTTCAGTTGACCTACTCCTATGCATTTGGATTTGCGCTGATTTTCGTACTTCTCCTTTTCACAAACAATCTCGTTTCCTCGGCTGTGTTTTTCTTTGAGGTGCCCTATCTACTCTAGTGCTGTCAAATTGTCGCTATTTTAATCGTTTTTATTTTGATGTTCCCATAGTCTGTGCAATAGAAGAACTTTGTTTTCCCTTTACTCTCTGTAGCACTTCAGCGATGTTTTCTTTTGGAGCACCCTGTTTGTGCTGTCCGGCTACTTTGGTTTGCAGTTTGTTCTTCTCCTTGTGCACCACTTTGGTGCCCTTCTGGCTGTCACCGGTATGTCACTTACTTTGGTACTACATTCACCCAATCTTTCGCTGTCTCCTTAAATTTGAGACATCCTACTGCATGTGGGATTCTGGTTTTACCGTAATAATTACTCGATTTAACGTACCGTTAAAACCCTCCGCATTGCGAGAAAGCTTATCCAGTGCTCGAAGACGGTCTGTCTGTTCTTGTTATTGTTTTTGTCGCGTTTAGTGACCACGGTTCGAAAGGCTGTGACCATCGTTCTTTCATTCCTTGTCTTTCGGAAGCCCTTTTCTATTGAGTAAGTCCTCTTTTCTCCTTAACATTTTGTATCGCTTGTTACCTCTTCGTTAACGCACTCATTTCTTACAATGTAAGGCTACCAAAACTTTTAGAAGACAAATTGTGGCACAAACACATGGTCTGATCTGATTGAAAGAGATGCCTATTTCAACTTCATTCTATCACCACATAGGCATAAAAGTTGGACTAGTATTTTCGTGTCCGCCATCTCTTTGTGCGGGTTCTATTGGTACTTTCGTACGTTCATGAGATTGGTGTAAAATTTGAAGTACTTGTACCGACGAAGATAATGTTGGTATGGTGCAGGGGTTTGAAAGGAAATGCTATTATGATTACACCCTCTTTCAGCTTGCATTCCGCTGGCATTACCTACGTGTCACCAACTTTTTACTCTGTTTTCTCCTCTCAGCTATGTCTGGTCTGGCTCCTTAGTGGTGGTTGGGATATTCCTCCACTCCTATAGCAAAAGCAAGAGCTCCGAGGTCAAACGAGGTTACGAGCCGAAAAATGAGGACCATCAGATTGTCTAATTTAATTGACTTATAGTGTCCAACTTTAACTTGGCTCAAATAGATCTTTTCATTTTACTGTTCCTACTGTGTTGGAACTCGGATGGTGACAACCGCTTAATCTAGGAGCGCATATCATTCTATATTCATTCATACTGATGAGGTAATACTTGCAGTATGACATGCAATCGGTGTCATCTTATGTTTGGGTATGCTTTTAGTTGGCAAGGCTCAACTTTGGGATGCTGATGTCTCAGCTTTGGCCGTTGGTCTGAATTGAACGGTCTTATTAGAGCCGTAGTCCCGTTTACATTCTCCGAAAACAATGTAATCTAGCTTCTGCACTTTTGATTAAAAGAATTATTTAGTCACTGTGGCGAAGGCTACTTGGTGCAGACGTTGGCCAGGTCTAAGGATCAATGTTTTTAGATAATAGATAGAGTTTATTTTGTCACCAAGCTGGTCTTTTCTCACTTTTTGCTAGCGCAAGAAGTAGGGTTGATTCATTCTTCGGGTAGTGGCGTCATTGTATTTGCATTGAAGAGCCTCACAGAAGTTTGAATAATGTAGTGGCGTCTCGGATGTTATCGAATTTTGAGGCGCGATTCGCCTCAAGAGACGAGTTATTGTCGCAGCTTGAGCGTTCCCGTCTGATAAACGCAAAGAGCGCTTAAAGATAACCGGATTAGGTGTCAAAAGGGAGCGTCACAGTTATGATATTAGATACACTGCCATCACCGATGCAGTAGAGGAACTGATTTCTAGCCTGTAAGTCGTGTGAATGTCTTGAGAGAATTCGTAGCCTCAAGCGCTCAGCAACGTTGCATCATATGTAAATAGCGAGTTGAATTGCTTGCCTGAGTATCGCTTGCTACGTGCTTCTCCATTATACATTGAGGCATGGCGATCTGCGGTAGTGGTTTTCCTCTTCAACTCGGTTAGCAAACACTGAACTCCTCACCGTAGCCAATGCAAAACCTAGTAGACACTAACAAAGCACCTACGATATGTGGACTAAAGCACATATTCTCTCTGAACTAACGATTTCAAGAGTCAAAATTTTCTCAAAATGTTCATCTCCGTGCTTCGGAAGGAAATTGAGTGCCTTTGGCCCATTTTAGACATTTTTTCTTAAAGCAATCTTCGTCTTGCTGCAAAACTAATCAAAAGCAGCCTATTGCGAGTGGATGCATTCTTGCTGGCGATCCAATGTGGCACCATTCTACAGGAGTAGGTTTACTCCGAAGTTTATTAGCTGCAGTGGCGTGCATGATGATACACTCTTTCATCACGACGTCAATCTAAATGTGGACTGCCTAATTTGACAATTACTTAATTGCTCATTTCATTTGATCTGTCAGGTGGTAGTGAAGATGCTCTGGGTCCGAATGCTTGCTTCGACTATAGTAGGGAATTCACCCTCCTGGAAACGGAAAGATGTGGATTTTGCGTTTTATAACAGTTCCTGATTCAGTGGAGAGAGAGCGTGGGTCTGAAATCTTGTAGGTGTGGACTTTATTCAAAAGTAATATGTGGTGCCTCGCTTTCTTCTAATATGAAGATCTATATCCACTTCAAAATGAGTTAACTCCTTGCAGTGTTGAGCTATCACTACTGAACAGAAATGTTGTGGGCTTTCTCTGCTGCAGGTAACCTCGTTGCAGTGGGGATCATTTTGGTCACAAATGCGGTGAATTGTGTTAGTTGTGATGTTGTGCTAACGCCATCTTGGCTGATCGTTTCGCAAACAACGAGGACATTGCTAATGAGATCGGCGTGGATGGACACGTAAAAATGTCCTTTGAGTTTAGAAGTTGGGCATCTCTTGACTCATTCACCAACCATGATTGAAGTAGTTTAAGGAGGACTGAATTTCGTATTTTTCATGATCATATTTCTGGAATCTAGGAGTAAAGTCGGTTTTCATTTAACAACCACTAGATTGATTGAGTCGAGTAGTTGTTGGTCCTAAGTACTCCTCAAGGAGAAAAATACTCCTTCCCTTA